AGAAGAAGAAGAAGAAGAAGAAGAAGAAGAAGAAGAAGAAGAAGAAGAAGAAGAATGCTTTGATAACCAGTTTTGGAAACGTATAATGGCATTAAAATTATATGCTCAATTGACAGCTAGAAATTATAGGAATTCCAACATATCTCAGGGAATCAGGCTGGAGAAAGATGGTATAGTAGGACACCCAAATGGGGCCAAAATTAACCCATGGCAAGTTTGAGTTTCCCCTTGTTTTTCCTTTCCTGTGACTCAAATACACTCTGCTAAAGACCATTACTGTTCTAGGTAATCTACATGTTACTTCAATTCTTTTGTTCTGAAATTCTGAGATCCATTTTTGTGATGTCCAAGGCTTTTCATCTCACCTTGGCTTCCATTTGGAGGGCTCTCTGATTCCAGGGTGGGATTCACTAAAAGCAACAAGACAGATATTCTCCAGTCCAGGAGAAACATATCTCGGGTCCGTTTCAGGAGCTGAGAAGCCAGATTTGAAAAGAAAAACAGAAAGGGGGGTGTCATTGAATTGAGAGTCAGGTGGCATACTTAATTAATTAATTAATTAACAGACTCCGAGTAGGGTCCTGGGAACCCTGAGCCCCCAAGGCCGTTTACCACTGCCAAATGTCTTCTGCTGGACCCCAAGATCTCCTCTTTTGACCACAATGGCCCTCATATGGGCTTCTCCCACTGTAGAGGACCAGAACCCCATAAAACCAAGAGGAAGCTTCCTGGAGTTAAAAGACAGACAAACCTGAGATGAATCTACCTAAAAAAATCCAGGAAACTCACCTGAGGGACACCAGCCTTACTCAGCTGAAAAGTTGGGACCCCTTTTCCCCCCGCTCACCCCGGCCACCCAGAGACCTTGGAGGTAGGCCTCCGTTTGGCCAAAGAACTAGAAAACGGAGCCAAGCATCACGTGAACCCTTTGTGTGACTGGCGATAAGGATCTGATGCTGGGGACCAGCGTGATCCGCGTCAAGCCCTCGCCTTGCTTTTCCAAGCTGCTCCGCTGGGATTTCTCCAGTACGCCTCTGCTGTGCCGAAGTGTCCAGTTTCCCTAACAATGAGCTTAGTTGTATTTGTCACAGACTTCACCCTATTAATTTATCGGACGGTATGAAATTACCCGATGCAGCTTAACAAATCCTACCTTTTATAGCCATATTTCCAAAGAACTAGTCACTCCACATGCCATCGTGTTTGCCTTTAATGCAAACTATTGCTTTTCTTTCCTTTGGGGTGGGGGGGAGAAGGGTTTCTATATTTGTTATTTCTTGGAACTGTTTCCAAGTTGCTTTTCTGCCCACCTGGAGCTGCAAATCCCACGGATTTTTTAAAAAAAATAAAGCGATACAAAGATACAAGAAAAGATACAAAGATGAAAGAAAATTGCAACAAGAAAAGGAAAATGAAAAATGAAAACAATTCCCTTCAGAATGCCTAGGTGACATTTTCACTTAGGCCAGTTTTTCTCTACCTTTTGGGACCCTCTAAAATATTGGGGTTAAAATTTTCTATCCCTCCCTCCCCCCCACCACCCACAGGGGACTCGGGTGGGGTGG